AACAACCAAAAATCGGTCGTTCAATAGGCTGACGTTACCACCAACGGTAAAAAAAAATCGGCTGATTTTCGTCCCATCTACGGCCGGCATTTAATTACTTTTGTCCTTGCAGAGAGCTCTGCTATTATTGGCTGCACAGTGAATATATCTGGATTGGGGCGGAGTACACATATTGATCCTGGCGGGCTGCATCTAGTAATGATGATAATGAGAGGGGGAAAGGGAGTAGTATTTAAAGCACAGCTCTATCAACAATAGTTATAATCACTGATCATAGACACCTGTTTTCAGAGTAGTGTGGCTTGTAATTGCACTCATAGTGGTTTACTAGATAAAAATACTGTTAGGGGACAGATGTCCAAGCCTGGAAGTAGTCAGATCCATCCCTAACTGCAGGTAACAACCACTTGGTGTTAGACTGACAGCAACGGTTGCTGTTCACATACAGCCGATCACTATTTTTCTGCAGGCTGAGAGGCTGCTGCTGTTCATATACCTGTTGTTCCAGCTGCTAGAATCCAGTGTATTCAGGTGGCAAGGAGGCCTTAAACCGTAACTAAACACAAAAATATACTGTAGCTTACCAATCATTGGATGTGATGGCGATTGTTTATTTTTTTTTTTTTTCCCCCCCAAGCTTTTATGCCTTTTATTTATGTGTGGTGATTGGCCCGTAACACACCCTGTTTTTAGGATGAAATACATTCAAATCCATTCAGCGTGTTCCTATACCCCCACCTCCATAGAAGCAGTACCACATCCTCTTAATACTTGAATATACCAAATTACAAAGTAAAAAAAGGGGATATGAGACTTGCCGGTACTCAAGTACCTGATAAGATAAATGTACATAAATTACTGTAAAAAAATAAAGTTTTTATCACAATGATAAAAAGCGCAAAAAACTATGTGGCTTATACAGTTGTGCTTAAAAGTTTGTATATGCTGGCAGAAATTTGTGACATTGATATTGAAAATATGACTGATCATGATAAAAAAAATGCTCTTTTATTGAAGGATGATGATCATATGAAAGCCATTTATTATAAAGAGTTGTTTGGCTCCTTTTTAAATCATAACAGAAGTTACCTAAAAGCCCGTGATTAAAAGTTTGCACACCCTGGAATGTTTAAAGCGGAGCTTTACCCAAAAGGGGAAGTTCTGCTTTAAGGACTGCTCTCCATTAAGGATTGGCACCTTTTGGGGGGGGGGGGGAGAGTGGGTACCCGAATTTGACAGGTACCCACTTTCACTTACGGAAGGTGTCCGTCCTTCCTCCCTCCCTGTAATCTTTTGGGACACGTGACAGGTCCCAGAAGACTGCAAGACCATTCATGAAGCACGGCGTGTACCCTGAAGATGCTGGCCTCCTGGAATCCAGGACAGCTGGTGAAAGGGGCTGTGGGAGACACACCATGGGACCGAGGGACAGGTAAGTGGCTGTTTTCTAAAAGTCAGCAGCTAGTTTTTGTAGCTGCTTTTATTTTTTGAAAGCGTGAGTGGAACTCCTCTTTAACCTCTAATTAGCATTTTAACTCGTGTCTGCACGAAGGTCAATGTCCCACATCTGTGATTTATTTTTTTTTAATTGCAAATAGTGTCAGTGTATAAATAGTCAATGAGTTTGTTAGCTATTACGTGGAAGCACTTACTAGGCTAGATACTGAGCCATGGGGATCAAAAGTCCTGTGTTACAAGGTAATGGAACTTTACAAAGATGGATGTAAAAAGATGTCCAAAGTCTTGAATATGCCAGTCAGTACTGTTAAATCACCTATTAAGAAGTGGAAAGTTCTGAGATCTTACTACCAAGCATAGGTAGACCAAGAAAGATTGCAGCCATAACATTTGAGCTTTTTAGCATTTTGATTCCAAATAACTTTTTTTTTTTTTTTTCTTTTTACCATAATTTATGTATATTTAGTTTATCAGGTACCTCAAGGTCCCATGTCACCCCTTTTTGTATTTTGGTGGCTACAGTCACTCTGCTGTTGTATTTAAGGAGGAGTAATGTAGCCATCCTTTGACAGCAGTATTGTCAACAGGTGGAGAGGGTAGTGTTTAGTGAAGTTAAGAATGTGTGTTTAGACCAGCTGAAGTCTCATTAACAGTTGCGTATGCTCTATAAACTCTACAGAGCATCAATATTTGCAGCTCAAAAGGAACTTCTCATCCTGCTCCCTGAACAAAATCAATCAGATTTTTGCCAGCACTCTATAAACTAATAGTTTGTTTGGACCAAGCTGATTCAAAGTAGCATAACCAGAGTTGGACTTTAATGCTTGCTGCCTGGAGTTTGCATGTTCTCCCTCCCACACTCCAAAGACATGCTGGTAGGTTAAGTTGCTCCTGTCTAAATTGGCCCTAGTATGTGGGCTAGGACCCTTAGATTGTAAGCAGGGACTGATATGAATGTTAAATATAGATGTGTGTAAACTGACTATAAGTACCTGTAATAACTAAAAAGGTAGTGCCAGACTGTTACACTAAAGGGCTTATCCATACAGATGATTAGAGCTGTCCTCTGTGCAGAGAGGCTGCATGTGCATCCAGCTCTGAGGAGGTAGCCCATAAAAGTGGACACAATACATGTCAGTTTGACAGGCAGGAGTGGGTTCTTGGATCTATACACAAAAGGTGCTGCCTGCAGGTGTTTGGCACCATCCTCTGTCCAAATGAGCCCTTGCATTGTCTTGGAGGAATAAAAACAAAACCAAAAGTGAACTCTAGCCTAAAACCTGTGTTAACGTTTAAAATATTCAATTAATGTACGTTCTATTGCTATTCTGCTCTAAGTAACTAATCTGGTATACATCTTCTCAGGGCAATCATGTGCGGGAGTTAAAGAGTAAAGCTGCTGAAAAGTCACTAATTGACACTGAGGTGCAAACATTGCTGAAGCTGAAAAAGGACCTGGCTTTGGCTGAAGGAAAGTCACCCAATCCACCTGCACAGAAGGGGAAGAAAAAGAAATGATTTGTGTCACTACCAAACAGGACTACAAAATAAAATGTGCAAATGCACAGCACTGAGATGGTCAATATTGGGAACATGTTTTTAAAATAAACTTAAGGTCCTTGTTTGTTAACATGTAGCTACTGTCATCTAAATGGAGATTGCTGTAATGTATTGCAAAGGATTGCATGGCTTGTTGAGTGTGTGTGTAGCTAGGGAAAGAGGTGACTGCTCTGTACTTTCACCATCAGTCTGCAGCAGCCAGGAGATAAATAGAACAGTGTTATAGTAACACCAATTACCTCTTCATCCCATTCCCCAGAGGATCTTGCATGAAGTTTACTCTGCATGTGGCAATGTGAACTACTGCTGAGACAAAAGCTCACAAAGGGCAGATTTGTTTTAACAGACTGTGGAAAGTCCATTGGCATAGCATTTCAACTAAGGTAAAATTTTAGAAGCTGAACAGTGTATTGTAATGGGAGCCCTTGGTTGTGTAGGTTCTCCCCCCTCTCAAAAAAGGTGAGTTTTGCCCTAAGTGGGTTTGGTGATTGTTTAAAAGGCCAAGTGACATGTTTCTAAAGGGGCTCTAGGAAAGCATCACCACTCCCTGTAGCCTCTTGACTCATACAACATTGACCTCCAGTTGCAGCTGTTGTAGATGAAATGCTGGTAAAGGGCACCTTTTGGGACAGCGTAGGATACTGAATGCACTTTTTTTTGCACCTCTGAGCAGCAGACTCTCAGTAAGCTGTTTGCCTGTACCTCTAATACAGGCTGGCAGTTCATTGAGAAATACAAGCAGTCAGCTATATTGGCTGACAGTGCTTGCTGAATTCATTTACAGGAATGAATGTTGCAACTGTGTGGGCAGAGCCCCACTGGTTTCAAAAATTGTGAAATCAGGTGCTGGGAGAAGATTCCCTGTCCACTGTCACAAAGCAGAGTGCACTGGCACTAGGCTGTGGCTTCACAGGCTACCTCCTAAATATGGATGTAAAATACTAAGGCTCCATTCACACTGCTGCAACAGTCACGACATGTGAAATCTCATGTTCACCAATGAGTCATCCTAATTAGCACTACTGAAGTCACTCTGACTTTAGAAAAGGGTCCTGTGCTACTTCAAGGCAACGTCTATCAGAAGTTAATAGAAGTTGCTGCCAAATCAGATCCTCATATTATTGTGATTTGGATCTGACCTTACAGGAAGATTACCCAGGCATTCCCAGAAAGTTGCTTCAAATTCATGCTCAAGGAACCTGGCAAAGTCACACAACTTTCAGGTTGCAGTAGTGTGAATTGAGACTACAGGTAAACCTAATGCACCAATACAGTTTCATTTGTTTAGCCTAGTTCCCTACCAGACTCCAGCTTAAAGACTTAAGTCACTGAGGCAGAATTAACATACAGCAAGTGCGTGCAACTGTCTGAGTCACTAACCTGCACCCTGTATGCAGCTCAAATCCAGAAACCAGCAGGCATTAGGGAGAAAAGGTCCACAAATTCCAGCATAGGTTTTCGTGAAGCATTAAATGTACATATTAATGGTGTTTCTTCAGCTTTTATCAAAGATGTTGCCCATAATAGCAATTTGTGGATTAGAGAAGACAGTACCCAAAAAAAGCCCACACACCATGACACTTAAGATAATGGTTTATAAAAAAGTGGGTTATAAGTAAAGAAGAAAAAAATTATAGTACATACACACAGGCTTATTCAATAAAGTGAAGTATACAACTGCCATCTTGTTGCAGTGGCTTATGAGTTGCCACCTTAAATAAGCATTGATGGAAACTACAAAAAATAGCCATGCAGATAAACATATACTCATGCATATAACCATTATATCTGTTAGGACCACAATAATGTACATACAAAATGCTGACTGTTCCCACAAGTCTACCCGTTAGTCTCCATGCTCCTACTACCAGAGCTGCAGATAAAGTTCAGACCATTCCATTTATGCAATGACAGACAGACAATGTGCCATGCTACTCTTTCCATGCTTTTTTAACCAAGCAGTTTGTATTCCTTTCAGTTTATCAAACCTTCTTAAGAGTCACCATTCTTTCTATGAGAGACTTTCGGGTCTTCTCTACTTCCAAACCGAGACGCTCAATCTCCCCTTTTAGACGCTCATTCTCTGCCATTAGATAGGAAACTTTCTTCTCGTTCTCTTGCTCCTTTTCCTTAGTACGGACCTTGCCTCCTCTTGGCTGGGAATTCCTTTTCCTTTTTGTTCCCGATTGGCTGCCACTAGATTCCTCATCTTCTGTATGGGTTTGAGATGGAGGGCTGCTGCAGCTCGAGTCCACCTCTACAGCTCCATTATGTTGGATGTCAGTAACCTCCTCAGAAGAGGCAGATGGAATATCAAAGTTATTTTGTGATCCCTGGTTTAAGAATTCCAGCACCTCAGAAGGGAACTGGTCTACAACAGCTTCCAAGGCAATTACATCCTCTTCTGTGAAACTGACAGGTAAAGAAGAATTAACAGAGTCCAGTGTCCAAAGATAACTTGAACTGTCCAGTTCTTCAACCTGCATGCCCTGTTCAAAGATGAAATGTTAGCAATCCACACAACAAACAGGCCCTGCAGAAATACAGCCAAGCTCCACACACAGATTTCACTTTAGAGCGGGTGTTGGCAAGATTTCCAGAGCAGAACACTTCAGTTCATAGACATTTTCCTCTAGCTCCCACCACAACCCTGTATTATGCTGCATCCACCTAGGCAAGTACAAAAAAAAAAAAAAAAAAACACCCCACATGCTGTATGCACCAGCACCACCCCCCACTACTCTTACACCTCCTCAATCCAGCAGTGTGCACTGAAGTCTCAGCTATCCTGGGACCCCCTCTCCTCAGCTGAGACTCCCACTGCTGTCAATCACAGCCAGTAAGAGGATGGGGCCAAGCCATAGCTCCATGTGTTGATGGACACAGCAGTGGTTGAGTGCGCATGCTCAGGTGCCCACGTAGCAAGCTGCTTGCTGTGGGCACACCAAACAGGAGGGAGGGGCCAGGAGCATCAGTGGGGGACCTGATAAGAGGACCAGGAGCTGCTCTGTGCAAAACCATTGTACAGGACAGGCAAGTATGACAGTTTTTTTTATTAAGCTTTTAATAATCACTCTAAATCTTGCACAGCTTTATCCATGTATTACAAATCTGGCAATACATGCTACTATGCCATCAACATAATGGATCTTCCAAGGTCTCTGGGGCCCTAAACAGAACACTAACTAGATTTGTGCTCCTTTTTATGAGCAGTCAATGATACAGCTGATCTGAATGATTATTTCACAAGTTAGAAAACTTGTCTGAACAAAAACCTACATTCAATTGCCCCATCAATAGTTAGTGTTGATGGGGGATCCCTCCTGCAGCAGTATTGTGTTCCTCCAGTGTGCTGCCTTCCTTGCCGGCAGAACACAATTACTGCAAGCAGTAATAGTTGCCAACAATAATTGCATGCAACAAATCCAACAGTCGATCCATAGATTGACTTGGGTACAACCAGCCTGCCCATAGATTGATCCACTTTTACATTTAGGATCAGAATTTGTCCCGATTACAATAACCTACAATTTCCTAAAATCAACACACACGCCCTGCAATCCACTAGCTACTAAAAGTTTGCATCAAATTTTCTTTCCCCCCTGTGATTTTGTTATTGAAAATAGTTATGCTGCCTAACAAGAGTAAAAAAAAAAAAAAAAAAAAAACACATTCAGTAACATTATCAGAGGATTGCCCATTTTGGAGGACACCAATTACTGCAATGAAAAGTGTGGAAAACTCCATGTCGCACAAACGCAGAAAAAGCTGTAGCACTGACCTGCTTGTCTGCATCAGTTTGGAGAACCCCTGTATTCTTGGTTTCAGAGAACAGGATGTCTTGTAGGTCCTCATACCAGGCATCTAGCTCTAGCCCTGACAAGGGGCCAACAGAGCCAGAGAATGGCAGAGATTCTGCCATCATCTTTTGGCAGTCTTGCTGCACAAAACTGGTTCACTGCAAAAGTAAAGTGCAACATTAAAATCTACAACAGATTTGGTTTTATGGCTATCCCAACCTAGATTAATGCTCTACAGAAACAGTGTTGCTGGACTCATTGCTAAAATAAAAAGAAATTAAATCTTCTAAACATGGTTGGCACATGGAGTGTTTATTCATGCAAGACTGGCTGCCTAAAGATGTGTAGCTTACCCTCATTTGTTCCATCTGTTGGCCTTGACCAAAAATCTAAACCCAACTTTAAGTGCCATAAATCAAGATCAGCCAAGGATGCTGACTTGTAAAATTAAACTAACAACTGCCTAGAAGTGCCAGCATATACCTTCAGCAGCTTCTAGTTCCCCTGATGTTACAGCAGAATCCTGGGTCATTGGAGAAGGCAGATTTAAGACCCTCAAGTAGAATTTAACCCCTTGCCTACCAGGCACTTATACCCCCTTCCTTACCAGGCCAATTTTCAGCTTTCAGCGCTGCCGCACTTTGATTGACAATTGCGCGGTCATGCAACATTGTACCCATATGAAATTTTGATCATTTTTTTCTCACAAATAGAGCTTTCTTTTGGTGGTATTTAATCGCCACTGGGCGCTTTACTTTTTGCGCTATAAATTAAAAAAAGTGCAAAAAATTAAAAAAAAAAAAAAGTTTATTTGTTTCTTTTATAAAATTTTTCAAACAGGTATTTTTTCTCCTTCACTGATTTGCGTTGATGAGGCGGCACTGATGGGCACTGATAGGCGGCACTGATGGGCACTGATAGGCGGCACTAAAGGGCACTGATAGGCGGCACTAATGAGGTGGCACGGATAGGCGGCACTGATAGACAGCACTAATTAGGGGTCATGGATAGGCGGCACTGATATGCAGCACTGATAGGCGGCACTGATGATGGGTACTGATAGACGGCACTGACTGGCATCACTTCTGGGCACTGACTGGCGGCACTGACTGGCACAACCCCTGGGCACTGACTGGTGGCACTGGTGGGTGGCACTGGTGGGCGGGCACAGGTGGACGGCACTGGTGGGCACAGGTGGGTGGCACTGGTGGGCACAGGTGGGTGGGCACAGGTGGGTGGCACTGGTGGGCACAGGTAGGTGGCACTGCAGAGTGGCACAGGTGGGGGCACTGCTGGGAATGGGTGGGCGGGGCTAGTGGGCGCACAGCTGATCGGAACTTGCGGGGGTCACTGCTGGGCACCGATCATCAGGGCACTGATCATCAGTGCCCTGATGATCGGTGCCGATCCCCCACTCTGACAACTGCCGGTTCTCGGCAGTACTTTCCTCACGATCTGACAGCGTGAGGAAAGTGCAGCCGAGAACCGGCACTTGCATTTTCCTGTGATCAGCGTGTCATTGGACACCGCTGATCACGTGGTAAAAGGCCGGTGGGATCGGCCTTTCACCACATCTCGTGATCAGCTGTGTCCGTAGGACACAGCGATCACGGAGATCGCCGGGTGCACGCCCCCTGGGGCGCGCAGGAGAGCGCGTTCTGGGAGGACGTCATATGACGTCCACTCAGAACTGGCCGGCCGCGGTGAAGCCGTCATTCGGCTATGCGCGGTCGGCAAGTGGTTAAGCTTCTCATGATCTTCTGACCACCACATGTTCCTACTGACAGGTTGCCCCACTTGCCAACAGGAATATGCAGGAGGCCAGCATGGTTCACCACAGTTGACAGATGTGCACGTTTTGGCTACAAAACAGGGTTTAAAGAGGCCACCGACTGAAACTACTAGGTGCCTACTCTACCCAAGCAGTAGAGACCATTTACTAAATCATTAATTTCATCTATACTTAAATATATTGAAATGTAAAACAGCAGGACTAGACAGGAGATTTGCACAATGCAAAATGAGAACATGCTTGGAACCACAAAAAGCTTAGGAATGTCCTTAATGTACTTGAACTACAGTCAGGTCCATAAATATTGGGACATCGACACAATTCTAACATTTTTGGCTCTATACACCACCACAATGGATTTGAAATTAAATGAACAAGATGTGCTTTAACTACAGACAGTAAGCTTTAATTTGAGGGTATTTACATCCAAATCAGGTGAACGGTGTAGGAATTACAACACTTTGCATATGTGCCTCCCACTTGTTAAGGCACCAAAAGTAATGGGACAGAATAATAATCATAAATCAAACTTTCACTTTTTAATACTTTGTTGCAAATCCTTTACAGTCAATTACAGCCTGAAGTCTGGAACGCATAGAAATCACCAGACGCTGGGTTTCATCCCTGGTGATGCTCTGCCAGGCCTCTACTGCAACTGTCTTCAGTTCCTGCTTGTTCTTGGGGCATTTTCCCTTCAGTTTTGTCTTCAGCAAGTGAAATGCATGCTCAATCGGATTCAGGTCAGGTGATTGACTTGGCCATTGCATAACATTCCACTTCTTTCCCTTAAAAAACTCTTTGGTTGCTTTTGCAGTATGCTTTGGGTCATTGTCCATCTGCACTGTGAAGCGGCATCCAATGGGTTCTGAAGCATTTGGCTGAATATGAGCAGATAATATTGCCCGAAACACTTCAGAATTCATCCTGCTGCTTTTGTCAGCAGTCACATCATCAATAAATACAAGAGAACCAGTTCCATTGGCAGCCATAAATGCCCACGCCATGACACTACCACCACCATGCTTCACTGATGAGGTGGTATGCTTAGGATCATGAGCAGTTCCTTTCCTTCTCCATACTCTTCTCTTCCAATCACTCTGGTACAAGTTGATCTTGGTCTCATCTGTCCATAGGATGTTGTTCCAGAACTGTGAAGGCTTTTTTAGATGTCGTTTGGCAAACTCTAATCTGGCCTTCCTGTTTTTGAGGCTCACATCTTGTGGTGAACCCTCTGTATTCACTCTGGTGAAGTCTTCTCTTGATGGTTGACTTTGACACACATACACCTACCTCCTGGAGAGTGTTCTTGATCTGGCCAACTGTTGTGAAGGGTGTTTTCTTCACCAGGCAAAGAATTCTTCGGTCATCCACCACAGTTGTTTTCCGTGGTCTTCCGGGTCTTTTGGTGTTGCTGAGCTCACCGGTGCGTTCCTTCTTTTTAAGAATGTTCCAAACAGTTGTTTTGGCCACGCCTAATGTTTTTGCCATCTCTCTGATGGGTTTGTTTTGTTTTTTCAGCCTAATGACGGCTTGCTTCACTGATAGTGACAGCTCTTTGGATCTCATCTTGAGAGTTGACAGCAACAGATTCCAAATGCAAATAGCACACTTGAAATGAACTCTGGACCTTTTATCTGCTCATTGTAATTGGGATAATGAGGGAATAACACACACCTGACCGTGGAACAGCTGAGAAGCCAATTGTCCCATTACTTTTGGTCCCTTAACAAGTGGGAAGCGCATATGCAAACTGTTGTAATTCCTACACCGTTCACCTGAGTTGGATGTAAATACCCTCAAATTAAAGCTGACAGTCTGCAGTTAAAGCACATCTTGTTTGTTTAATTTCAAATCTATTGTGGTGGTATATAGAGCCAAAAATGTTGGAATTGTGTTGATGTCCCAATATTTATGGACCTGACTGTATTAAATATATAACCTAACAATCTAGTTACTGTTCCACAGATTACACACTATATTCTATAAAAGCGGTCGAAACCTATGTTAATGTAAAACATTCTTTATTACCTCAGGTGTGTGGTGGTAGATAAAGGCCGTCTTCTTCTTCCAACACTAGAATAGAGAGGAGAGGAGAGGGGAAAAAAAAAAAAAAAAAAAAAAAGCACAATGTAAAACACTAATAGCAATGGTATAGATATACATCAATTGTCGATAACATCACTTTCTTCCTCGCATACCTAGACCTTGGCATTGTTTATTTGAAGAACAAACTTTCTTCCCAGGTCTGTTACAGTTTCAACAAAGACGACTTGACTTTGCCCACAAACGCAAGTGCAATAATTACAGTAAAGATGACTGGTAGGAGAAACCTCTTCAGCTAGGCCAGGACAAGGTCCATATTACAACAGTCCTTGATCTGCTCCATTTTAAAAATGGTATCAAGTTTGGGGGAGGTTAGGAGTCCAAGCCATATGTGAGGACTTCCTTTTTGAGTGAACCTCCGCTTTAATCGCTAGACAGTGGCTGCATCCAATGTCATCTGTGCTATATAGCATAGATAGATATGTTGTATGGGCAGCCTTAAAGGCCACTTGCACCTTTACAACATGTTACACCCATATGTAGAGTGTAAGAGGAAGGAGCAAGGGACAGGACCAGGCCTGGCTGTGTATGGCTTATAGATACACAGCCTGGTCCAGGAATGTGCCCACCCATCAGCATTTACAACTGCTTTAAGTGTAGGGGGTAAAATAGGTGTAAGGCTTTGGCATTAAGGACCTTAAAGCAGCTAAAGCCCACGCTTTTGTACTGTTATTTTGTAGAAAGGTTGGAGGTCAAAACCCATCAGGTTTTTATTACTATGTCCCCTATGATTACATCAACCATTAAGTGACATTTACTACACTGCTCAAAAAAAAAAATTAAACACAAACACTTTGAAAACACATCAGATCTTAAGTGGAAAAAAATATCACGCTGGATATCTATACTGATATGGACTGGGTAATGTGTTAGGAATGTAAGGATGCCCCATCGTTTGATGGAAATGAAAATAAATCTACAGAGGACTGAATTCAAAGACACCCTGAAAATCAAAGTGAAAAAAAGATGCAGCAGGCTAGTCCATTTTGCATAAATTTCAATGCAGCAACTCAAAATGGTACTCAGTTTGTATGGCCCCCAAGTGCTTGTATGCTTGCCTGACAACATCGGGGCATGGTCCTAATGAGACAACATATGGTGTCCTGGGGTATTTCCTCCCAGATCTGGACCAGGGCATCACTGAGCTCCTGACCAGTCTGAGGTGCAACCTGCTGGCATCGGATGGACCAAAACACGATATCCCAGAGATGTGCTATTGGATTTGGATCA